CGTCCACTAGAGGGAGTCACACACCGTGAACTTCTCTGCTTTATGTTGATGTAGTCTAGAGTTATTGTAGTGGTGTTAACAACAAAAGATTAAACACTGAAGATAAAACAGCGTTGTTGCATTCAGCACTTTTATGATGATGTGAAACATTTACTGTGTATGATTTATACCTCACACAAAACACAAATCCTCTGTCTAAAAAAGTTCAGCTCCAGCTCAACATATTGTGTTATATTAACTACTGACTAACCACACAATTTGAATCAACCATCTTTATCTACAGGTTAGAATCACAATATCATTAGTAACTAAAAAGTTTACTAATGTGATTTTGTGTGACATTTTGGACCCGAGTCCAACAGTCCAACGGCTTCAGATCCAGAAGCTTCAGCTCCTCCTGGGCTGTGAAGTCCACAGTGACAAGAAACACCAAACACAAGGAATGTTAAAGTTAATTTTATATTCTTTGCACTGCCAATTTTAATACCAGACATAGGCATTTCCTGAAGAAAATGCGTGTGAATGCTAAGTGCTGAAGAATTGCCCAAGCAATGCTGAAATGGCAGAATTCCACTGCTGAAACAGATGAAGGCTGAAATGAAGTGCTGATGGAAAGAAAATGCTGAGTAATTATGGAAGATGAAAAAATGTTGAATAATTATTAAAGATGAAAAGAAAAGATGAATTGAGAACCTTAAATTGAAAAAAAAAGCTTAAAGACTGATCACTGAAACATTGGAAGGTATACTGCCAAAGTGGGAAGTAAAAATAAAATAGCTTAAACTAGCAAAAGAATACCAATATCTGTCACAATAAAGTTTATCGTGGATTTTCAATCATTGTCTTAATTTCCATTGCATTTATCTGTGCTTTTTAATGGGAAAATCTGGCACACTACCCACTCTTTAAATAAAGGTCAAGGTCAAAGTGTTTGTCATATGCACAGTGAGGAAACATGTTTCCTACTTTGCCGTCCACACAAATGCCACACAATACAAGTGAAATATAAAGTAGATAAGGAGGTGACACAAATCTAAGGCACTTTAAAGCAGCAAATGAAAGAAGCATAATACAACAAGACCACAATATAATGTAGAGAGAATGTATGGGAGCTGTGAGTGTGCAATTATGCATGTGCAAGCAGTACAGGTGGAATTACATGAGGTAGATCCTGAGTCAGCTGCTAAGATGTCTGATGGCAGTCAGAAAGAAAGTTTTTCACTCTAGAGGTCCTGCATTTCACACTTCTGAACCTCCAGCTGGAGGGTAAAGGTGTGAACAGTCCGTGCTGGGGGTGGGTGGGGTCCTTGAGGATGGAGGCAGTTTTCCTGTGGACTCTGTGGTGGTAAATGCTCTGCAGGGAGGGCAATGGAGTCCTGGTGATCTTCCCCACAGTCTGGAGCATTTGAGCTTATGTTACAATGCAGTTTTTTTTTTTTTTAACTCCAGCATATTTCAGAGCATCATATCACTTCCTGTAACTGCAGGATTTTATTTTGAAAATCATCTACAATGCAGTGTCTGGTAACATTATGCAACTAATAAAGAGTCTTATATTTTGAAAATCTGGACCATTATGGGGCCTGAAGTAACAATCTAGTGTTTTTATTTTGAAAATCTGACATCCTACAGAGCACTTGCGTCACACCAAGTTATAATCTGGGGCTCAATATAATCAATTTCCATCATCCTTCAGAGTCACACTGTGACTTCCTGACACTAACTTTCTACCACAAGCACATTTCATTTCCCTGACATCACCAGACATCCGACTGATGTCACCCACTCTAGCTCTCTCCATTCAAATGAATGCAGAGGTTGAAAAATGTCCAAAATCACCATAAGAGATAAAGTTTGAATGGTGTCTGTATCTGAAAGTATGCTGAACTGGTTATTGCTGAAAGACTTGTACGCTGAAGAGCATTTCAAGATTCTCTCCATTCACTTTAATGGGAAATTTGTTTTGAAAAAAAGTTCAACATTTTATAAAGTTTTGAACAATTCTGAATGGAAGCAATAATGTTATTGAAGAGCTGAACATTTGGATGTTTGAATGGTTTTTAGAGGTGAAAGTATGTAGGAGGAGTTAGGTGCCAAAACACGGACAGAAGAAACCAGCAAATATAAAGATTTGGGTGACAATAGTGTGAATGCTGCAGAATCAGCATTCACACCATTAAGTTGATTGATTTAACTCCTCCTTAATTAAAGCTTTTTTTTTTTTTTAAACAGACTATTTTTGTATTTTTATATCTTGTTAGCAGCCTCCACAGTGTGAATTCAACCCTCTGCAGGCAGTGGTCGCCATCACAGACTCAGCTTCGGAAAGCAAGTTTCTCTATATATTTAATTGGAGCTGGTTTGACGTAATGAAGCACTGGCATCAGTCACAGGTCCATAAACTTTTAAACTTATAAGTATGATATTTACCCACTGATTGTGAATAATGTGAACATTATTTCTGATGTTTCCACGTGGATTTGCAGATTTCACAAGATGCTTTTTGACTGTGGACCACTGTGACACAAGGTGCTGAAAGCCAAACAACAGCAAAAGAAAAGCCAGCAGACTAACGGAGGTGAACATGTCCAGGTGAGGTGCTGACAACACACAGCGATACAAGAGGAGGAGCAGGCTGAGGGAGGAGCAGACTGTCAAAGAGCAGATCTCCACAGGCAGATGCACTGAGTATCTAAACCAGACATAACACTGGTACTGTCTGTAAGATGCTCTCACCGCATCACTGTGGAGCGTTTCCTTTGTTTCTGATCATATTGAAAGGTGGGTTAATGTAAGAAGAACATGTCTCTAGAAGATGTGTCCAATAGAAACCACTGGAACAGGGAGTTACACTTTAATATCGGCTGTAACAACAGGTCTCTCTTCCTTTAGGTGTCAGCTGTGATGAACTCACTCCAGTCAACAGTGAAGAGTCCAGTGTAGAAGGCAGTGCTGTTACTTTGTCCTACAAATACCCCAAACAGACAGGTGGTGATTACTTCTTCTGGTATCGCCAATATCCAGGAAAACCACCACAGTTCCTCATCTCACACACTGCTTCAGGAGAAGTAGTAAATAATCCAGTCACTGGACTGAAAGTTGAAGTGGAGCAAACCCAAATAAATCTGGAGATCATCTCAGCAAACGTGTGACTCTGCTGTGTACTACTGTGTGAGGCCCACAGTGACAGGAAACACCAGGACTCTGTACAAAAACACAAGCTGCCACCCTGACAAGCTGCTGGAAGCCTTTTCTCCACTGCTGCAGTGACCTGTTCCCTCCACTAGAGGGCCACATCATCCAGTAGGCGCTGCACTACTTCTGCACTGGGCTCAGCCATTCTGCCAAGAATAACTGCTGCTATGAACGGAGCAGTTCTCACACTGACTGTTGGACATCAGCTGGTTTCTCCTGCTGCTTTAAACCTGCTGGTAGAGATGGAGCGTTGGCTGTGGATCATTCTGGCTGCTCTTTGCTCTGGTAAGACAGAAACCACAGTGTGTTTCCTCCAAAAACAGTTTAACACATAATGAAGTTGCACACATTTGGTCATAGTGAAAAGCAAACAGATC